GTGTGTAGTTTGCTGAGTCAGCAACTCTTCCAACCTGAAAGAAAAATTATTCTTGCCCCCTGCCAGCACTTCATACAGATCTGCACATTTTGCAGCAAGAACGGCATGGCAACTGATGCAGCTGTGAGCCTGGGGTAGCAAACCTGAAGGAAAGGCTGTGGAGTGCAGCTCTGATGGGCTTAATCTGCTGGCTGCCAGGGAGCAAGTTGTTCTTCCTGCTTACAGGCAAGACCCAGGACTGGGAGCAGGCAGACTACCAGTGGCAGGGCTGGGGTCACATAGTACAGTGCAGCCCCCTTTTTTACAGCATCCCCATTGCAGGGACAGTGGGCTGGGTAAACTACAGTTCCCAGCACCCTTTTGTGCTTGTCCCTGCAAACTACAGTTCCCAGAACCTTTTAATGAGCCAGAGAGGATGTCTGTGGAAATAAATGCCAGCGATTTTTGCATAACACCCTGCACCTCCGCAGTGCTGGTCGGCCCTTAGTGAAAATAGGAAAGGCGAAAACCAGGGAGCGTCAGGGCTGTGGAGCTGTGGTTTTGCCCACCCCTAATAGCCGCAGCGGTATCCTCCAGCACAGAGCATCCTTCCTCCCCTCGGGACTCCCTTGGTGGTCACAGGGAGGACCCTGGCCCCCAGGAAACACGTCTGCTGCGGAGGGAGAGGCAGATAAACTACAGATCCCGGCATTCTCCGGCAGGCAGCACCTGCGGCAGTCCCTGCACGCTGGAGGGTGGGTGGGGGGTGAGGATGAGGATGGAGGGCGGGGAGGAGAAGCAGGGCGCCGTGGGGCTACGCTGCACCTGGGACATTCCACCACCCGCTGGCACCCAGGCCAAGTGGGTGAGGCTCAATGTGGGGGGCACCATCTTCCTCACCACCAGGCAGACCCTGTGTCGGGAGCAGAAATCTTTCCTGTGTCGCTTGTGCCAGGGCGAGGAGCTGCAGTCGGACCGGGTAAGGCAGCTGGGTTGCCTCCCGCACCGTGCCCCAGCGAGCATGGGGAGGGCTGGAGGGATGCAGGGATGGAGCCAGACCCAGAGGGCTGCAGGAGTAACCGAGTGGAAAATGCCTGCTCTTTCTCCCCACTCTCAGAGAAAGGATTTCCCCTTGCTGGATCCCACCTTGCTGTGTTGTAGCCTGGCACCTGTCTTCCCGAGCAGGGGAAAAGAGAGGCCATTTCCCCTCCGCCCCTGCTCTCCCACCTCTCTGGCACCCCACATCCCCTGGGTCTGCCTCCCAGCCATGTCTGCCTGACTCAGCCTTGTCCCCTATGAGGGGGCTCTCTGCTCTCTCACACTAGGCCTGTACACAGGGACCCGTGGTTTCCAAGGAGACTTAGAAATAGTGGACACTTTTGCTTAGGTTTGCATTTTCTTATAGACTATTTCATTTGAGGGTTGGTTACAAGTTTTCCATGGGGTTTTTCTCCTCGTGGTCTATCTCTGTTGCTAGGATGAGACTGGTGCATACCTAATAGACCGGGACCCCACTTACTTTGGACCCATCCTGAATTTCCTCCGTCATGGGAAGCTGGTCCTGGATAAAGATATGGCTGAAGAGGGTGAGTCTTGGAGCTCAGAAACTTCCCACGTAACTTTGTTGCGGTAGCCAGAACACAGTAGTACTTGTTTTTGATGTTGTCTCATTCTCCTCCTAGAGGTTGATGGGGGGGCGGGATTTGAGAGGGCTAACCGTGCAGCTCTTGGAAAGCATACCGATGTTTCGTTACTAAGAGGGTTTGGAGTAGATGAGGAAGGCATTCTACGGGTGGTGTGGCTTCACCACTGTTTGTTCAGCAGAGATTTCACCAAGATGGAAGTAGGCAAGATCTCTCCACCTCAATAAACCAATTTTTGCTTGTTCCTGGTCCACTTTTAACCAGGCTCAGTGCCTGAGGTTCCTGTTAATGACTGAGGGTTTCTAATTAGGAATGAAAACCCAGAAGACTGAACAAAACCAAACTCATCTCTTCTACTGACTGTAATAAAGACCATCATTAATCAGTGACACGCAATGTATGCTACTAGTACTCTGATGGTTTGTGGACTGCAGCAATTCTAGTGGAGCAAGCCAGACAAACCAATCCCTCATTTGAGGCTGTCAGGGAGTCCAGTACCATAACTCAGTAACATCACAGTATTACCAGCCAGGAGTCCCCAGTGCCTTGTTACTTTTTGGATGCTAGAGTTTAACAAGGAGCCAATTCCAAAGACAGGCTGTGCTGTCCAGCCCTTGCCAAGCACAGTTTCTGCATGTTCATTAGTCTTCTTGCCTCTCTTTCTTACATATTTTTACCTAATGCAAGGAAAGTTTTCTTATCATTCCAAAAATATATCTAAGGAATGGTACAGAATTGTAATAAACACAATTCTGAGTTTTTTCCTACTTGACATTTCTCATAATCCTGAGGTCAGACAGAGTTCATCCACAGGTTTTAAAATAAAATCTGAAGCATAAAAACAGGAGTCCTGTTCATAGCTTAACATTGCCTTTTGTTCCTGCTGCAGACACTCAGGCTGGCATAAAACTAACCCATTAGATGATTCATGGCTGAATGAGGGAGTCAGAAGAGGTCTAAGTGTGTCAGGTAGTGAAGGATCAATCTCCCCACCTGCATTGCCTATATACTGCCCTGGGGACATGTGAGTGTGGGCTCCTAGCTGCCTTTCCCTCACTGACCCTCTGGGAACCCACCTCCCTGTCCCTGAAGGCCTGTTGGCATTTAAGTGAGTCTCAGGGGAGGTGATGGATGCAGACACTATAGAGAAAAAAAACCCCACACTTCTCTGTTTACCTGCTTTGAGGTGAAGCATGGGAGAGAGAGCCAAAGATCATCTGAAGTCTTGTAGGGCTGCAAGGTGGGTGCAAGTCCAGCTGGCCCAGGAGGAAAGCTGGGATTTTCTAGGGTCTTTTGGTGACAAGGTCAGAACAAGTTGTGGTTCTCTGCCTTAAGAAGAGGGCCTGAACAAGCTGTTAACTACTGCTCATTGAGGGAGGCTGAAGCCTACGTTTATTCTCCTTGGCCAGTTATCTGGGAAAGGTACTAGCAGTCTTCAGCACAAGCCTTCACTGATAGTGCCTGTTTCTGTAGTAGCAGGCAGCATAAGGATCTTGGGGTGAGCATTAGAAACACAATGCAGAGAGCCAGGGTTCAATTTTCTGTAGTAAGAGTTTCAAGCAACAGAAACCTGTTAAAAAGTGAGGCTGCAGTGTTACTTCTCCCTGTGGACCTTGGGAAGCTCAGAATTGATCTTTTGCAAGAGAAAAAACAAAGATGGGCTGGTTTTGTCTTTGTGGTCCTTCTTTCTCAGGGGTCCTAGAAGAAGCTGAGTTCTATAACATTGGTCCTTTAATCCGAATAATCAAGGATCGACTAGAGGAGAAGGACTACACAGTAACTCAGGTATGGAGAGAAATGGCAAGGAAAGATAGAGTGGGGTGGGTGAAGGAGGGAATGTGGAAAGGGAGAGCTGAGTCTACACAGACAGCAGACTTTGAAGAAGCAGCAAGGAATGGAAAGAAGCAACTAATTAGAGTTTATGTGCTGATGTCTACATAGCAAAATCTTGCAGGTGACAGTCTACCGCCATTTGAGTTACAATAAACAAGTTACAACCTTGTTTTGCATCCCCAGAAGTAATGCTGCATGTAGTCCCTGAAACTACATCAGCTGCTCTAGCTTTTGGAAGAAGGCACCTGGTTGCTGTGGGATATGGAAGAATGTTTGTGAGGAGAGCAAAGCTGTTGTGGGGAGGAGGGCTCTGGCATGGGGAGTCCTGGGAGTGTAATCACAGTGAAGAGCATGGGGACATCTGTAGAGAAACCTGGAGGGAACAGGTGAAGTGATGTCTGTGGAAGAGTTAAATGCAGACAATGAGGCACAAGGAATCAATCCTATGGCACAATCACACCTTGTCTTGGCTAAAAACATTTTAAAATCTGTCTTCTGGGGTCTCTTGAGCTGATATCTCACTTTTCATCATGTCTGCCTCAGGTTGTAAGCCTCCAGCAACACTGTCACTTTGTGCTCGCAAAACCCCATCAGCATTTGTGGCATTTACATAAATGACTTTGTAACAACAAATGCAAACTCCCCATCGAAAGAGCCCAGCATCTTCTGGGGACAATGCAGGAAGCGCTCAGCTCAGTCCCTCCTCTGCAGAAGAGATACTGTTGTTCTTGCTTCCCATGACAGCATAGTAGAAATTTGGGTTGTGATTTCCACTTCCCTTTAACCTGGGACATGGGGAAAAGGACGGGTCTGCCAAGGAAGGAAGGGTACTACCACTTTGTTCTGCAGGAGGGCAATAGCCTTTAGCATCTGACCATTGTCAACATGCTCTGCAATTTTGTTGTCAGGTGCCTCCTAAGCATGTCTACCGTGTGCTGCAGTGCCAGGAAGAGGAGCTCACTCAGATGGTTTCCACTATGTCAGATGGATGGCGCTTTGAGCAGGTATGGAGAAGGTAGAGGAGGGTGGGAAGGGGTTGTCTTTTGGGGAAAAGATCATGGATACCATACAGTCCCCAGGCAAGGCACCTTCCCTCTCTGAGAATATTGGGTCAGCCGTTGATGGGGCTATCACACTGGGTCTCTCTTGCCCCTTCTCTGGAGGTTTAGCGGATACTCTGTGTGTTTTGCATCCTGGCTGACTCATGGTTCTCTGTGCTGCCTCCTCAGCTTAGATATGAGGCCTTTCTATTGGAGGTATGGATTGGATTCCATGCTACATGGTGGGCTTTCTGCCTTGCTCCCCCGGTGGAGTGGATGTTTGCAGTAACGTGTGCTTGTGATTCTGGTTCTCATCTTTTCTAGCTTGTGAACATTGGCTCATCCTATAGCTATGGGAATGAGGATCAGACGGAGTTCCTGTGTGTGGTCTCCAAAGAGCTGTACAACTCCCCCAATGGCTTGAGCTCTGAGCCCAGCCACAAAGCCAAGGTGAGAGCAACTTTGCTATGGCCTTGCTCCCATTGCCTATGAGATCCTTCACTCTTGTTTGCTCCCTCTTTCTTTTCTCTTTCCACTGTGACTGTGGGGCACCTCAGTGGTAAAATACAGGGCTTGTCCTGGTGTTCAGCACCGTGGTATTACACCCATTGCCCAAAAGGAGGAGTGCGTGTGTTGAGAGTGGTGGTGTCCAGCTGTGTGTGGCAAATGGCTTTAGCAAGTGAACCTGGCACTTCTCATCCCCTGCCCTAACATCCCCCTCATGCCTCCTCACGACCATGCTGTGTGCGTCACTCTGCCTCTAGGGGGTGTTTTCGCTGAAGGTTTTGCAGCGTTCTCTTTCCTTTTGCTGAGTCCCAGCCTTAGGAGCAGAAGATCGCCTGCTCCCCTTTTGATGGAAGAACAGAAACGTGTGGCAGTGTGTGACATCCTGTAGACACCTATAGCACTAGCGACTGATGGCAGTTGTTAGGCGGTGGGATCACAGCACTTGTAAGTGGGTTAGATATCCCTGATGTGATGCTCCAGAGGAAGCCAAGTCTCTTTGCCCCCTGATCCAGAACTGTCTTGGCCGTGGGGAAAGGTCCCTTTTTATTCCAGTGTCATGACCATTGCTTTATTCCCTTGTGTGTCAGAAAGAACTGCCATGGCCCATCTTGCAAGTATCTCCACTCTTTCTTCCCTTTGTCCTGCATGCTGGGCCACAGAGCACAGAGGAGGACCTGGAGGAGGAAGAGCAGGAGGTGGAGGAGGAGGCAGAAGCAGAAGCAGAGGAGAAAGGTGCAGCAAATCCTTGAGGAAATGATAAAAATAAGCCCCCAAGCATAGACCCGTCCACCTTTCTGGTGAGAGCTCACAGCTAGCAGCAGGGAAGGACTAGGGCAGGTGTGGGGTGTGGGGGCAGTCCTCTCCAGGAGCAGGCGTCTCTCTGGAGATAAAGCTGACAGGGGAGAGCTGTTACCGTGGCTGCTGCTTTGTATTTTAAACTGTTTGGTTTATTTACGGTTATATTTTTATTTGCAGACTGTCCATCTATTCGGGATTGCACTAAACTCTTTCTTCCTCTGGACCCTCCCTCCTGCTCCCCTCCATGTCCATCCCAGCACTGTCACCTACCTCCCCCCCTGCACCACTCCCCAGCCTCCAGCATCCTTCCCTCTGCTGTCTTTCCCCCCCAGGGCTCAGTGTGGTCCCTGCCTGGGGCCCTGTCTCTCTCTGCTCCTCACTTTTCCTCCTCTGCAGGTAGTTACCTGTCTGCACTCTCAGCTCCCGCCAGCCTGAGCTCTGCATGAGTGACTCACTTCCCTCTTGTGGGTATGGCCCTGGTTTGTAGAGCTTGGGGAGGGGAAGGAGGGAGGGGAGGTTGACTCATCCCTAAGGTGGCTTTTCCGATTCTCATCCTATGTGTGCCTTTACCTGCCAAGCAGGCCCTACAGCTCTGGACCAGAGTCTCTGGCAGCAGAAAGGAGAGTGCAGCTGGGAGAAATGAAGAGGAGGGGAGATGAATGCAAAGCAGGCAGGGTGGCACGGGGAAGGGGGGGGGAAGTCCGCCACGTGTCTGCCTGACACGCATGCCAAATCGCTTCTCCAGACTGCTGTCCGCAGGTCCTTTGCCTGCCAGCCCCAGAGCAGTTATTTTCCTGTCCCTGCTCTGGCTTCCCTGGGCTTTTCCCCCGCTGCCTCTGCCAGGGTGAGAGCACGGTGGGAGAAGGTGGTGAAGGCAGGGTGGAAGTGGCCGGTCCCCACTCCAGGTGTTCTCGCAGCTGTGTGCAAAATGAGCCTCTGCGCTCTGCCTCCTGCTCAGAGAGGCTGCCTGGCTGGTGTGCTTCGGGCTGGGCACAGAAAGATTTAGGAGGAAGATCCCTCTCTCATACTGGAAAACTGTGAGGCTCTTGTTAAACCAGAGGTGGTCAGTGCCACTCTCTGTCCTGGTGGAAGGCACCTGTTAGCTGGCTGACATTTCTCTCTCCCTCTGCTGGAGAGCCTCCTTGTCCATGGCTGTGGGACCTGAGTGTTATTCTCTGAAAAGTCAGTGTATGTTAATCACATGGGCTTTTCCTTCCTTTTTCTCTGTTCTCCCACCCTCACTCCTCATCTCTTCTTTTTCTTCTGTTCTCATTTCCTCTGTCGTTTTCCTTTTCTCGTTTCACACTCTCCCTTCCATGCTCAATTGCTTTCTTTTTTTCCTGCCATTGATTTTGTTTCTCTCTTTCTCCTTCTCTAGCTGTTACAAGCCAGAGGTCTGAGGATGTGATCCCGACACTCCACTCCAGCTTTTTAATTTCTTGTTTATATCTTTATTTTTGTACTGCAGTGTATGGCAGCCCCTCGCCCCACAGTGACACCCCCCAGCCCCCTTCACTCTTCACATGCAGCCATTCTTTTTTACAAACTCACCTCGGAGGCCTGAGCCTCCAGCCCTGGACGAGGGCAGATGCTCCATGGAGCCCCTGGGCTGCTGTAGGGGCTGGAACCCACGGTCCCCTCCCGTGCCTAGCAGGCTGGCTTTCCTTAATGTCACAGTGGCCCCTGCTGGGGACATCAGTAATCAGCCACTGCAGCCTGCGATTCCTTCCTGAACACCCTGGATGTGGTGGCAGCTGTGCAAGAACCAGTCCTTACTCTTGCGCTGTTGCAGGCAACCTGGTCTGGGCTTGTGGCCAGAGGGCAAATGCAGAGCCACTGCCCTTTTCTGGGCCACCTGCAGTGCTCGTGGTATGTCCCTGTGCTGGGTATCATGCTCCTTGGTCCCTCCTTCCCCGTCCCCTAAAGCAGCCCTGTGTCTGCAGGGTGAGGAGGAGACGGGTGTGCTGCCCAGGTACCAGGAACATGATGTCATGTCAGCTAGCATAGGAGATCCCTGCCTCAGGGAGCGGGGCATTTGCTTCACTGCTATGTCTGAGGACACCAGGTTGTAATTCCTGAATAAAATTCACAGTCTGTTCCTCCTTGCCGCCTCTCATTTCAAGTGGCAGAAGTTTTGTGCTGGTAGAGGGGGATGAGAGCTGGAGAAGAGGAGTTTGGATTCATCACCTGGAGGCACCAGAAGCTGCTTGTGCGGCACCTGTTTTCTGGGGGCTGAAGGTACTTCCCACTGCATCTGTGCTGCATCTCCGCTGCAGGCAGCTGGGCTACAGAGCAGGTTTTCTTATTGGAATCTGCACCCATAAATCATAATGATAAGCCAGGCTCACCTATCTAGCTAGTGTATTGACCCCACTGCACCTGGGGGACAGCTGAGAGGGTGGGCAGGGGTGTGGAAGCTTTTGCCAGTTGCCAGTGCCAGGGTTGGAGTTTGGTCAAAAAGATGCAAACCCCAAGATAATTTTTAACAGAGTAAGGCAAACTAGAGCCAAAAAACCCCTCAGATTAATTTTATTTCTAATTCCAGAGAGTGGCCCATTATATATATATACACACATACACATATATATGTATACCTTAAGTAAAAAATCCAAACCCATAGCAGTCGCTGTTTAAGCACTGTGCCCTGAAGCCTTCTCCTTCACCTCCTGTATTATCTGAGTTAGGAGATGGAAGCAGTGAAGACGCATAAATGTTAAAGGTATTCAGAAGGGCTGAGGGAAGGGGATGGGAGGCTGCCCCAATGTTTTTACTGAGGACCGGGGCCTTTTCCTGTGGAAAGTGCAGCAGTGGAGGCTGGGTGCTGCTCCAGCAAGGAGGCAGGACACGCGCTTGGGGGTGTGATGCTGGACTCGTGCCTGGGAGTCAGTGAGACGTGAAGAGTTGCCTGGCTGAGCTGAACAGCACATTGAACAGCACATGCCAGCTAAGAAAAGAAGCAATTAGGGAGATGGAAGAGGAGGAGTGATGGGAGGGGAAGGGGGAAGAAGGACGAGCAGCAGGAAGGAAGAGGGAGGCAGATTGATTTCACAGTTACTGGAATCTCTAACTACATCAGTCACATTTTCTTTCAGCAAATGTTCCAGCATAAGACTGTGGCTCAATCACATGGTTCATGGAAAGTTCAACTCCCCTTATTCCATTCCTCAGAAACCATCAACTTGGGACTGTTGCTGTGTCATGTCATTGTCGTGTTCCCCCCTCACCCCCCTTTTGGATGGATGGTCTAAAAACACCTTGGGATGCTCCCTGTGAAGCACTGAGGGGGAAGAGGGTCTGCCTGCTTTTTTTCTACAGTCCCCACAGCAGGCTTTTTTTACCTTGCTCAGAAGAGCATCCTGGGTCTGACAACATCCCACACAGAAACTCTTTTTCTCTAAGAGGCAAGTAAGCAAGTTCAGGAAGTAGTGCCGTGTGAGTGTAGTGATGGGGAGAAGGCAGAGATGCACTTTTCTCAGCTCATGGTTTGGTTCATCCAGCCCAGCACTTGGGTGATCCTGGTGTATACTCCATAGTGATCTGGACGTGCGCATCCCATTCCCCAGCTGACCAAACCAGCCAGAAACCACCTGCCACTGGGTTCCTTGCAGGCCAGTGGACCTCCAGAGTCACCCTAGAGAAAGGAAAAGAAAAATGGGGTGATGGTGACCCAGCAGCTTCTCCTGCTGGATGATTACACTGACTTTGAGTCCCTCTGTAAGCAGATCCCTGTATCCCCTCAACTCATGCCTGGGACATCTGCGACATTCCTTGTACCTTAGGCAGATGTCAAAAACAGTCTCCAGTGCAAACATCCAATCTGTTGTTGCATTGCTTCATCATGAAAATTTCTTCCCCTTAGCCAGATCCCAAGAAGCTGACAGCTGTATTGTTTCCTTCTGCTCTGTGTGGCATTTCTAAATATGTGAAGAGCAAGGAAACTGGTGGAATTTAACTGGCTACCTGGAGGGATGGGAGACAGAGGAACTCCTTGAGATTGATAGTAATGAAAGAGTAGACAAGTTACTGTAAGTGATAGATGCTAAAGAGGCTGAGGGAGTAAGAGACTGATGTAGACACATGACTTGAAAGTGGGAGGTGAAGAGTGGAGAATGGGCTGAAATGAGAAAAGGAGAAGTTTGAGTGTATTTGGATCCTGTCTAAGGCAAAGATGCTGGGAAGAAATCATCCTGAGAGCTGTTGTTGGCCACTTAGATCAGAGGAAGTGCTGGGGAAGTTGGACATTTTATGGTCTTTTCACCCTCACTTCAGGCTATGGAATGCATTTGGGAGACTTGGGACGCACCCCATCTCCAGTAGTCAACCCTCATCCCACAACTCCTCTGTCACCTGGCAGGCATCTTTCTTGCCCTTGTGGTAC